CAAGAATAAATATATTACATAGAAAAAAATAAAATAAAAATTTTGTAATTTAAAAAAACTCTATATGTTTTTCTTTTTTGATATGTACATGCTTACCTATATATTATTAGTAATGATTAAAATAAAATTAAAAATTAAAAAAAATTAAAAATTATAATTAGAAAAATAAAAAAAATCTTATTATTTAATGTCTTTCTCTAATTCATTAAAAAAATATTAATTATATAATCATAATCATAATGATAATAATAGTGTGTTGATTATATCGCACCAACAAGTTTCCAAAGAATGGCTTCATAACAAAATACAAATTGTCTCAAATTTTGTACAATGCTTAATCGTTGCTCTCTAAAATTTAATATGGTGCTTTGAACAATATCTTTTACATCATTGTAATCATTTGAAGAAGATGATGATAATATAGAGATTACGGTATCGATTGTACAAAATGTTCCAGTACGCCCACAACCAGCCGAACAATGAACGATCATTGGACCAATTTGTTCATGTTGACGTTGAGCTTCAACCTCAGCTCCAGATTGTAAATCATTGGCCACATCAATAAGTTTTAATATGTTGATGGGTGTTTCTGGTGTGCCGAAATCAGGCCAACCAAGAAAATGTAGTTGGGTAATTTCTCTTGGTGGACTGTTGGGATGATTTTTATGAGACAATTTGAATTTTCTAATTATTATTGTATTATCTATTATTGGTGGAAATTTTAAATTACTATTTTCGTTAACATTGCAATTATTTGTTGTTGTTGTTGTTGTTGTTGTTGTTGTTGTTGTTTGCAATTCACCAAAATTTGAAGTTTCGAGCGAATCATCATCTTACTTTAATCTTCACATGCCAGGTACTTATATGGCGGCTCCAGCATCGACTGATGACAATAATAAAAATAGTAATAACAACAACAATAATAATAAACAACATAATCATAATCATAATCATCAATCTTCCTCAAATTCGTCGTCGTCGTCGTCGTCATCATCATCATCATTGTCATATTCTTCTTCTTCCTCCACATCAAATAATCCTTCAGGTTATTTCGACGTTAAACCATTATCTTCTCCAGCCCAAACACCATATTTTGATGCCTTAACAAGTCCATTCATAAATAATAATTTCAATAGCCTCAATAATGATGACATTAATAATCATCAACAACGTCACAATCAACAGATTGCATTCTCTTCATGGTTAAATAGCAATAATAATAATAATAATAATAATAATGGTGGTGGTGTTTTTACTTCAACATTACCATTGACCCCCTCTTTATTTCCAAATACTTCTAACACATCCTCCTCTTCTCCCTACTTTCCCTTTTCTGCTTCGCAACTACCTTCCTCAACTCTACCACCACCACCACCACAGCCACCCTCGTCTGCATCTTCTATTTCTTCATCACTTCCTACTGCTAGTTGTCCTTCTTTATCTTCATCATCTTCATCATCATCTACATCATCATATACATCATCTGCATCTCCTACATCACTACAAAAGCGTCATTTATTATTAAAATCTTCAGATAATAGCCTTTCAAATAAGAGACCTAATTCGATGCCTTCTGGTTCATCTTTTGCCTCTAATAGTCCATTTCAAGAATTTTCGTCTGAAACTGTGGAAAGCTTATTACAACAACTTGACCAGCAACAAAGAAAGACAATTTTATTGCTTGATATAAGACCTTATTCTTCATTCAGCAACGACAGAATTAAATCTTCTATACATCTTTGTGCACCAACCACTCTAATAAAAAGACCTGCATTCACCATTGACAGTTTGTTGGCAACTTTGGTCAACGATGCCGACAGGCAAATCTTTAGGGAATGGCGTGCCTATGAAAATATCATCATATACGACAATGAAACCACAACCTTAACCGAAAATTCTCCAATTTTTCATATTTGCAAAAAATTTATTCCTCCAGCAGCAGCAGCAGCAACAACAACAGCAGCAGCATCAGATAAAGGTCCAAAAGTGAAAATTGGTTTTCTAAAAGGTGGTTTCCCCAGCTTTTCTTCAAAATTTCCTGGTTTATGCGAAAAAGTAGACAGCAACAACAACAATAATAGCGGCACATTCCCACGTAGAAGACTTTCACTAGGTCGTAAACCTGGACCATTCACTTGCCCAACACCAGTAACTGAATCTTCAAACGTTAATCATTTCTTTAATAATATTAGACAAAATATTGAAGGTGTTGCAATCACTGAAACAATTCCTATTCGCATTCCAACTCAAAACAATATATCGCTCGATCAATCAAAACTACCACCATTTATTCGTGATGTTGCCTTTAAAGATAATGGTAGAATGAAATTAGCGGAATT